AGCGATACTTCGAGAACACACAAGCGAGTACTCGCCGAGTACTCGATACTCGTTTACTACTCGATTGTATGTTCTCGAAGTATCGCTGCCGAAAACTCAAAACAAATCGTACAGAGCTGTCCAACATCTTATTTTTGTAGAGAAATGTTTGCTCTACCTTCTTATCGAGTTAGAAAATTTTTAACGAAGCAATTTACGAAACGCCAGGCTTTTGAAAAATATGAAATCCTTAGTCAATTACTCAGTGCATGCCTACCTATGTTGCGTCCAACGCAACTAACTGGGTACCTCTCAAGTAATATTTACTTGAAAAAATTCAAGCACCTATGAGATTCATGTAGCAGGATATCCGCATAGGTACCTAAGAAAAATACAAGTACTTAGGTTCGTCATGTACATTCACTAGGGAAAGCTAAAAGGCCCAAGAAATACGATCGTGCGAAACAACTAAACGTGTTTGGCAATCGTAATGTGCAAATTTGTCAAAAAAGTTCAAAAACTATATTCAAAATTACGAATTAAATGATAATATTCCAGCAAGTCGAATTTAACAGCAGCTGGTGTACAAAGATTCCAGGAAAAACAAGTGGTAATTACAGTTTTGAAAGATTGAAAGAAAAATGCAGCATCAGCAACAAAAAAAAGTAAAAACGATTATGATAGCGTCATTTTACAATAATCCTTGAGATAAGAATTTATTGTGGATATGTTGTGGACCCTCCTGCAATGATTCAAGTTCATTCTAAAGATCATGATATTCACAATGCTCAGTTTCTACAGGATAATACTCTTGAAAGCGTTGGACGAACAACTGATGATGATAAGTTATTTAATATGAAGCACACAAGTATGTCATATCATATGGTATGTACAGGTACGTTCGATCATTGTTGTCGAGAAAAGAGCATACCAAAATGAATCAAATTATATAGGAGAAGTCGTTTTTTTAGAAGAACAGCTTACATCAAAAAGAGGAAATGAAATACCTACATTTCGGTAGCCGCTTTCACAAAATACATTGGTTGGCAAATAACCAAATCGATGCCAGCTAGCTGCTCCCTAGACATTAATCCACAATTTTTCCGTGTTTTTAACTCGCCGTTCAGCGACGGACACCGGATTAAATCGTTTCGAAGTTTCTGAGAAACCTGTTTTGATGCCAAGTGAAATAAGTGACATATTACAGCATGTTGAAGAAACCACTGATAATTAGCAAATTAATGAAAGTAGAAGTTGATTAAAATGTAAAAGCTCTTTGAGTAATACTCATACTTTGATCTTTATAGCACATATTGTTATACAAGTCACTGTACCCAGTGATAATGTTGTCCGTCGATCAGGAAATGGAGTGGTAGCTCTTCAAGTGTTGTCGAAGACCAAATTTTGGATATCGTTCCAAATGAATTTCTGATAATTCAGGTACACAATAAATTCAGTTGGTTGGATGATTGCTAGAGGCAGCATCATGTCGATAACTTTTTTTCAGATAATTTACAAGTAATAAATCTGTTGAAAAGTTGAATTTTAATCAAATGAATATATCATCGCATGATACACTTCATTTGAAGGGGATACTATGGGCTAGTCACTCATGAAAAGATAAATATGTTTTCACCTAGTTGATTGGAGAACCAAATGCGATTTCAAAAATCTTTACAGAACTCTATCTGTAAACAAGCTTTTTAAGTTCATTTTGCTTGTGAAAAAATGTGTTGAAGTTCCCCCTGCCGATTGATCAAAACCGACACTCTTTACCATTCTTTATTAAAAAGCTATTCAAAAACCAACTGGAAAAAATAAATCAGTTTTGCACTTTGAAACACACAATCGTTGACGAACCAAACAAATTTTTTTAAGAGATATGCTCCGAATAAACTTTTATAAAAAATTTATTCAATTCCACATCAGATTGCTCTTATTTTTGATTCACACAAATGTCGTGGACCCGTAATCTTGTTGAAAGAACGCTCTTCCTCGTGCGCGCTACCGTCACTTCTCCTCATATGATGATATTGTCTGAATTCTTTGTGTTCAACTCTGTTGACCATATCACTTACCACTTGATAATAGTATAAATGCCTCATTTGTTAAATATGTTGAATTTTTTATGTCAGTCATTCTAACTAATGCATAATATATTTGTAAATTAATAACATCAAATTGTTGTAATAGTAATGCAAAGTCAATCTCATCTACTTTATTCACTGAAATTATTTTTATATAGGATTAAAAAATACTCGAATTATTGGTTAAGAAATCCTATTTTGATTTCAACAATTTTAATTCCATTAATACATTGCACGCTTTATGACCATCTATCATACTATAGTTACTTCGCGATTCATTCAATTTTGTTGAAGATAAAATAACTAACGGAATAAGTATTATTGTTTTGCAGAGTGTTTTCACATCCGTAGGTAAATTTGCTTTTTCTATCAACATTGATAAATGTTGTTACGGTTATTTGTGAATTATTTGTTATATTTTTTCAATGTTGTTGAATCTCAATTACTGAAAATATCCATAATATCTCTTTTATCATGCGATGATACACTCATTTGATTAAAATTGAACTGTATTTATTACTTGAGTATTGTACGTAAAATGTAACGTAAAATTTTGAATCTAATGTGGTGTATTTCACTTTAGTCTGACAACAAATTTCTCTCAAACTTTCAGACCAAAGTGTTGTACTACTAGATCACACCAAATACTGCTATCGATTTCAAAATACAATAATGGTATTGATTACTTTTTTACATTTAACCCTTAAAGGATTTTGGAAATTGGATTTTCAGATAGTGTACAAAGAGGTAGTTGCTATTCTATCACCACCGCTAATGGTCACTAGCTGTAAAAAAGGGCAGTCAAAAATGGCAGTCGAAATTTGAGAAGCTGCCTATCATCTTGTCATGTTTCGAAATTCTCGTCTTTTGTTTGATACGAAAGCCGCGTAAAAGCTATTTACATGGCTTTCGCATAAAAAAAAGTAGGAGGCTTTAGTAACGACTTTCTCCAAAATACGCGGCTTTCGCATAGAATTTTACAGGGCTTTCGTTCCAATGTTTATAGCGTAATAGTTAATGTCTCAGATATCTCAACAGCAGGCCTTTCGTCAGAGATTTTTACAGGTCCTTCATACCGGAATGTCTATGAAAATACAGGGGTTTCGTAAGAAAAATCTGTGTCTAGTAACACACGTCAATAGGGTTATCAGAGCGACAGTCAGACTACTAGAAAGAAGGTAGAGATAGTACTCTCTGAGCGAGTGCCGAAAGCCGCTTAAAAATGCGGATACGAAAGGTCCGTACAATACCGATACGAAAGCCCTGTAAAGAGCATCGTAGAATGGACTTGGCACATAACTATTCCGTTACGAAAGCCGGGTACGCAGTTTTAACTGATTACGAAACCTGTGTATTTTTTGAGTTCCAGGTGACGAGATGATAGATTACCACTTGAGAAGGGCGTTATGTATTTTTCTTTTATTTTTTTTAAGTAAAGAAACGTATAGAGCCTTGAGACACCTCATTCTGTAGATTTACAATTGTAGCTTTACGATTCTAGACGCTCCACAGCACTGCAAATTATAATCGTTAAAAACATATCAACGCAGCAAAATGTCAAAATTTTGTCACAGAATTTCACTCGGGTAGCAGAGTTATCTGGCTGTGCCCCGGTAAGATTGATAGAAAACAGAGAGGAAGTCTTCAAAATATCATATTCTACGAGCTAATGCATAACACACAGACACTTCACCGTTTTTCATATTCATTCGTTATGGAAATCAGCAGTGTTTTTGTAGTTTCGTATAGCTTTATTATTAATACTACTGAAGCGTATCGAAGCGAATAGAGCAGAAATGGAAAAAAACTTTTTACGGATGACGTCTCGCCTTTTCTTCTGTTTTTTTTGTCACAATCGGAATATGCACTACAATAACAGAAGAAGAAAAAAATAAAAGATATGAAATCTAATGCGAACATTACTCATATTCTTCTGTTAAAAATAATAACAAAAAAAATTAAACAAACGTTTGAAAGGTATTAATAAATTAATTTGTTTGACGTAAAGACAACGATATTCAGAAGTGGCTTGAATTCTGTCTTTTCTTGAGAAAAAAATGTAAAATTATATTTGTTAATCGAAGTCGTCACGCGTGTATAAATATTTTCTAATTCAAGTACAAAAAAAAAATGAACTTTTCCGAACAGAATCCTTTAGTACTTTCAACTAATCGTACAACAAAAGTAATGATAATTACTGATGATGAATCGATATTAAATAAATTAGACTTGAATCCAGTTAATTTAACAACTAATAAAGATGTCGAAACGATAGTAGTTGATTTAGCTTCAAATATTGATGATAATACAATGGAATTAGAACTTTTATCAGAGTTATCTCGACGGGTGAGTGTTAATAACTGAATAAGATGAAAGTTAAAGCCTTTTCAGCAATGTATTCAGGAAGTTTGGAAAAATTTATCAAATGTCCCTAGAAAAGGGATCTTGTTTTTTTAATAAAAATAATAATTAATATTGAACAGTGTGTAGAGTGAAGTGTAGACTAAAAGATGTTCTCAAGACTTTATGAAAAGATGCTTTATTGTAGACTTCTAAAAGGCTGATGTAGAGAAGAATAGTAAATAAGAACAGCTGATCCTTCTGTCTTTGATTTTTTTATAAGTGTAGAAATGTTATTCTCAATCTAGAATGGAATAAATGGGCCTAACTACAAGCAAATATTCAATTTACCAGTAAAAAGTGATGCGAGTTCGAAACGTACTCAGATACAAACAATTAATAATCCAACAGTTTTATCGAATATGACCGCGAGAACAACGACAAGAAAGAGAAAAGCTGATTTAACTTGTGTTGTGTGTGGCGGACGCGCTTTTGGATATAATTTTGAAGCGATTACCTGTGAATCGTGTAAGGCATTTTTTAGAAGAAATGCTCTTCAACCATTGGTAAAAATTATGTTTTTAATTAAAAAAAAAGATTATTTCTTATTTTTTCTTTCAGGAACAATCACAATGTATTGGTGATATATCAAGAAAATGTAATATTTCGAATGAGATAACTCGAAAATGTAAACGTTGTCGATTAGAACAATGTTTTGCTGTGGGTAAATAAATGTTTAATATTTATATTAAACATTTGACTTGTTTAACAATGTTTTCGTAGGTATGAGAAAAGATTATATTTTGACGTCAGAAGAAAGATTATTGAAAAAGAAATGTATTGAAGATAATAGACGTTTAAAACAGATGCAAAATAATGACAGTAACAATCATAAACAACAACAACAAATCAATTCGCAGGTGAAAACTTTTTAAACTGACCAGAGAATCTTCACAAATGACACTTCAATCTTTCGCTAAAGCAGCATTTTTACGAGTTATTTTCAAAATGCTAAACACCAATCTAATGTTCATTGCTGTTGTTTCGAGAGACCAGGTGTCTCGAGATACATTCAAAACTTTAAAATGCCGAGATTGTTCAATACGTTTCGGTTCCAGAGTGAATGGAGAAAAAAGATCGAATGAACATCTCTCACGAAGATACAAAGATTTTATTCTCTAATTCAGTAAATATTCAAAATTTAACAGCATTTGACATATCATAAGTCTTCTACCTCGGCGAAAACTTGTTCATTTAGTTTAAAAGTTATTTTACATACATAACTCGATTCGCTCTATATTTTTTCTCTTCAAATATCCTAGATGGATCTAGAAAGACTTGCCGTTTCCAGAATGGTACTTACAAGCTCTAGTAGTATCAACAGACATTATATTCGTGATTAGCGTTTTAGAAATAAACCTCTGAATAACAATTTATCATTGTAACAATTCAATACTGGTGATTCTCTATCAAAAAAATCCTCTTTTTCGATGTCAGAATCAGTTTGATGTATTTATTACTTTTTAGGTGACAGATGACATGACTGTTAATATTCAGTCGTCGAATTTGTCGAATAATTCATTATTAAGTGTTCAAGACTGGACTCAATTATGTCATCTTCAAATATCATATTTAAGCGCATCTCAATCTACTTTATTACCTTTTCCACCGTTTCAATTAACTGATAAAATGTCAGCAATGGTTCATACAATTGATATTCAAAATTTTGTTGCATTAAAACTCATCACCTATTTAAAATCTGTACACGAATTTGAACAACTCGATGAAAATGATCGTTTAACATTGGTCAAATATAATTTACCAGGTCTATTTATGTTATGTGCAACGTTACAATATGACGATGTTCGAGAAATATTTACAGAACCATATATTGATGAACAATATGCACAACATTGTAAAGATTTGTTTATCTATTGTTACGGTCTTGAATTTCATCAAGGTCTCGTTAAAATAATACGTTTAGTTGTCGATTTAACTGCACGTGATCCGGTTATTGTTGAATTACTCTTGGTAATTCTGATATTTACCAAAGGCTTATCTGCTCATAATGCTTATTCAGTTGAACCTATCTTATCAAATTCATCTCAAGTCTACCAGGCTCAATGTAAATATACAAGTCTTTTGTGGCGTTATATGCTACAAAAATATAATTTATCATTAACAATACATAAATTTTCCT